TTCCTTCTTCTTTTTAGTTATGTTTTAATTTATGGTTTTATGTGTTTATATATTTTATGTTCTAATATTTATTGTGAATCACCCAGAGTTATTAAAAATATTAAAAAATATTTATAGACAACTAGTGTATAGTACTTGAGAAATTCATAGAATAAAAAGTATTGGTTTGTAAAAACAAAATAAAACAAAAACCTGTAAGTATCTTAGCACCACTAGTGTACTGGAATGAAGGTGAAATCCAGTTAAAATAAATGAGTTCTAGCAATCTGATGTTGTCCTAATTACAGACTGAACTATGAAATACTTCCAAGAGTCATGCATTTCTTTAGTAAGTGTAACATTTAACAATGAGGATGGGCTTATACATAAGTATATAGGAAATATACAGTATATATAGTAGTATTCTCCTAGTTATATAGGAGGAGGGATTGGGTTGTCTCAACATTTTTTAGCTGAGAAAGATGGATGGATGGATGGATGGATGGATGGACGGACAGATAGATAAGAATTACAGTTGAGCCAGACTATACACTGCTAGCTTTTTATTGTCAGCCTAAACAATTATTTGTATTAATATTAGATAATCTTTCATTCATTAGATGTAACTGAGCATTCATACCTGTGGGCATTTGAAAATTATGCTTGCGGTGTGATTTGTTCGTCCTAGTTCAGATGGACAAAACAGAACTGATACTTCAGTAGTGGAATGAGGAGCAACAGTCAGCTGCAAAAACATGGGATGGGGAAGAGAGAGATGAAAAGCAAGCAAGCAAGCAAACAAACAAAAAACCTCAGTGTTCTTGTATTTATTTTTTTCCTTTTCTTTTAAAGTCAGTTCTTTTCATGTTCCTTGTATCAACACTGTTGATGTTTACATGATTAATGTGTTCCACTGTATGCCTTCCCTGCTCTCAGCGTGCAGGATCTGCTAAGACTGATAAAATACACCGCAGTAAACAGTGCTTAGTGAAGACATAACACACTTATTCCTGAGAAACTAGAAACTACTACAACCACAAAAATGGAAGTAGGGTTACTTTTAAAATATGAGGAAAAAGAGAGTCATACACTGCTACTGAAGTCATACACTGCTACTGAATTTCCTTTTCCTTTTTTTCTTAACCCATCACAGAGATACTTTAAAGTCTTACATGTGACACAATTTGAAAAGTCAAAATGCAATTTTTAAAGGACATTATCCAGGTTATTTTTAACTGGAATGTTTCTATGCTTTTCCAATAGTTGTACACATTCATATGACTCAAAGAAATTATCCTGTTGTGACTTATTTACTCTAAATTAAAAGAGACTGAACCATAGTTACATGCAATGGCCAAGCAACCATTATAAGATACCATAAAGCTCAAAGCTTTTAAGAAAGGATTGCATGCAAATCCAGAGATAAAATAATTTGCAACCCAGTTTCAAGCTTGACATTAGTTTATTGTTGCCTGATTTGATCCATTCCCTCTAACCTGTATTCCCTATTTGGCTAAATGTTCACACATTGTTAATATTACAGTCAAGCTGACACATAAAAAACACTGAATGCAGACATTTCCCTTCTTCAGTAAAACTGATAATCACATGTGCGAGAAGGAATCTGGGAGGTAGATCTACTTGGAAAAAGGATCTTAGTTTGATGAAAAGGGGGGTGCCTTCAACTGCTCTTGTTCATTTGCTGGGTACTGAAATTCCGGTAACAAATATGCCCTTTCCAGAGAAAAAGTGATTCCTTTCCTCTCTCTTTGCAGGCTCCACTTCCTCTTCAGTCCAGTAGGATTATTTCTATTTTATTCTCCATTCTCAAGTGAAGTTGTGCTTGTGCAAAAAGTGTTCTCTTTTAGCATGTGTGTGTGTGTGAGTGAGTGAGTGAGTGACTGAGAGAAAGAGTGTGTGTGTGAGAGAGAGAGAACCCTATTTTATAAATTTCTCTTGTTCTCTACATTAATGCATGAAGTTCAGGCAGGAATCTTCAAAAATTCTTGTTTGCTTTGTTATGGTTAGATTCTGTATGTTTTATGCCTTCTTGTATAGCTGAACACTGAATCATTTCTTGAAACTTTCCCATTTCCTATGACACACTCTGAATTCTTGCTTCATGTTTCTTTTGCTGAACTGAATGTGTTACTGTCTGAACTTCTTGCCTTTCTCTTACTGAACTTAATATATTAAATTCTGGATGATTGGACAACCATTTGTCCAAGATTGTATGTGGACTCCTGCCGTGGGCAGGGAGTTGACTAGAAGATCTTCAAGGTCCCTTCCAATCCTCTGATTCTATGATTCTATGAAATTCTGCATAGATTATTTACTGCTTATTTGATTACTGTGAATTCTAGCCTTAAATATTTTGGTACTACATTCCTCATATATTGTCAACTGCTTATTATTTGCCTTGTATGCCTTTAGTCTCATATATTATTTAATATTGTATAGATTGGTTATTGGTTATGATTCAGTTTTTGACATCTGGAACATATGTACCTATTTAATAATCTATAGTATTAAGTTTCTGATAAAATTGGTGCTGTAGCAGGTCTCAATTTATAATAATATCTTCCCCAAACATATACAGTAGCATTTAAAAGTTAGGCACTCTAATCAAATTGCATGTTTCAATTATAATCTCTACTGAACAGATGATGACACACACAAAAAAATATTTTACATTGCTTTTTCTTATTGAGATCCAGTTGTTTATAGTTTCAAAATAAGTATAAAATAATACTACTTGGAAATTAATGAAATAAAATTGGTTTATGGCCAATTATATCTTACTATCTATCTTTTTTCAGCAGTTAGAGAAACTGGCACTGCTCACATCTTGATTATGCATGGAATATTATTGAATTTTATCTACTTCTATATGCTTTGGATCTCATGCTCAGTATTTTTTTAAAGCCTTTTCCTACAGTAATATGACTAAACATTGTAAAATGATTAAACTGAAAAAGAAATAGAACACAAATATGTGTTCATATGAAAATTTCATTATTTCTATTAATGAGTTAGCTGGACAAATTATTTTGTTTACTTTGTAATTTGTAAACAAATTACTTTGCTTCTTGTTTGTAAATTTTTCTTAGCTGATCTTGGTCATTCTCAGCTATGATCAAGAAACAAAGTTCAGGTTACAAACTTCTCAGGGAGAAGAGTTTCAGAATGTTATAAATTGAGGCTATAGAAAGAGCCTAAAAATGTCAGAATCTATTCTGTCTCACCTTGGAAAGCCATTAAATCTATTCTGTGCCACCTTAGAAAGCAATTAAAAAGAATTAAAAGAATAATTTCAAATATCTGTGACACTCAGCAACATACCATGTTATAGTTAACTATATATAACCACAGGTTTATTTCTGTGATATATAAAATATACCTCTAAGTGCTTTCAAAGAAATTATCAAAGGAGGACACCTAAAGATGAGAGTAAGATCAGTACTTAAAAATAGCACCTTTTCTAAAAGGACCGCTATATAATGATGCATACACACTATAATGAATGCTCAATAAGGAAAGATGTCATACAATTTAGTGCAAAGACCCTTTCCACTTTTTTCTTGAAACAGAGTGGCTGTTGGCTGGTAACTGAAAATCCCCAAAGGCAAAATATTTAAAGAGAGAGAGAGAAGTAATAGTGATTAAAATGCACATATTCAATGTCAAAGACTGATATACTTCAGACTGAACACTTTTACAAGTTTAGGCAATCCATTTGTAATGTGCCTTTACAGATAATGTGCCATGAACATCAGTGGCATTTTAGCAACTAGTAATGAATTAGAAAAGCTGCAAGTGGAAAGCCTACATTAAACTGCCTGGACAGTTTGCATGCTGGCTACTAGAAAACATTAATTATTATTAGTGTAATCAATTTCTTTGCTAATGATCTCTCTGTAATATGTATGAACCTATTAAAACACTTCCAAACATCTATCTGCATTACACTAATAATAGTGTAGAAGATGGAAATACTGATATTATTTGAAATTACTCATAGCAGAATATATCCAGCTTCTGCTTTTTAAAAATTTTTAAACATTAAAAAACATTTTAAAATAATACTGCAAACACAGTGTATACTTTAGCTTATTTACTCAGTTTGATTATAGTAGTAAAATATGTAATATATAAAATGTCTTTTTCTTAAATTCTGAAAAATCAATATTATTCCTCTACATTACAACGATAACAAAAATATGCTGATGTAAGCAAAAATATTTTTAAAATGCAATCAAGTTAACAGACACAAATAAGCTTATTTTGCAGCTTCTGGGTGAGGATCAGTGGTAGACTGAAGGAGTGGAGGTGATATTGCAGCAGAGATCAGCAGCTAGACATTGAATTTTGGCCAGCGCTGTCTTTCCAGATAAAAGAGAGATCCTGAGATCACCCACTTGCACTCTGGACAGCTGCTCCTCATGAGAAGACTGCAGGAACTGAGGTTTTTGCAGTCAACTTGTGAGTTGAGCAGCTGGGAGTTGAGAGATTTCAGTCAAGCTCACAGATGTGATGCAGCCAAGTAGACATAAGGTTCACACATGCCTCACTTTCTTAAATATTTTTAGACGTAATTAATTTAGAGCTAAAGGGAGATTTTCTGAGCAGCAAGATAAGAGAATTCCACTTGGTGAGTCAACATTCTTTCTGGACTAAAAAGGAAAAAAAAGGTTTTAAACATTTAAAAACTTTTGGCAAAAAGCCTAACAAGGAGTGTATGTAAGAAAGTTTAAAACGGATAAAGGGGATAGTTTTTTTTATATATTATTTTTTTGGGAAATGAAAGTGCTCTTGAATAAATTGGAATTAAAATAGGCAAATGAACTGGACCTTTGTGGGAATGTTTTTTCTTTACCATTAAAGAGTGAAGACAATTGGTGGAATTTACAAAACAAAAGATAAAGGTAATACGAGCCAGACTGTGATGTTGATTATAATTACGGATTACCATTTGAGATGAAAGTATTAAGGGCACAGGAAAACAAAACAAAAAAAGGGGGGGAGTTTGCCTTTTACTCTTTCCTTTGTAATTCAGTTACTTTCACTTTTGGATTAGAATATTACAATGGCAACCACCAGAAAAGAGGCCAAAATAGCAGAGGAGAGGATCACTAGAGCAACCTGCACACAGAGGAATTACACCAGATTTACTTCAGAAAATGTTTGAGGAACTGGGCAATGAGTTAGTGGAATCACTTGATACTAAATTGACAGCTTTTGAAAAAAGAATGGATCAAAAACTTGTAAAGATGAAAGAGGAGATGAAAGAAGAAGTCGAGAAGATGGAAAGCTCTGTAAAACAAGTGTCTGGAGTTGTAAAACAAATTAATGACAAAGTAGAAATTTTGGAGAGTAAGACAGAAGTTATGGACAGGGAACTGGAAAGAGAACTAGATAATCTGGCACTAATAAAGCCGAATATGTGTAGCTCAGGGTTGAACTATGGAGTCCTTGGGGTTCTCTGAGCTTGGTTCTT